GATTCAATAGGTAGTGAGGTACCAATCGAGGTCGGACAAGTGCGATCTGGCCAAATGCAATGGATGCAACTACAGAGATCAAAAATAAGCTAATTTCCTTGAACTAGCGGTTCGTGCTCTGAGTAATCTGCAGAACACTAGTCGAATGTACCGTTTTGGGCTGACAGCCGCCACAACAGTAATCACGCAGGTCAGTTCCTTCTGTTGATGTTTTGCGATCTGATCGTTTAATATCCTGAGAGGACGCAGCCTAGCTGTTTTTAACAAACCCAACTTTGAAGCATATCCGGACAGTACAAGGCCGAGTTAGCAGTCGAGCCCTCACCAGAACTTTCTCCCACGATGGTATATAGCAAAAGTGTCACTCGAAACTGTTCACCTTCCACTCATCTCTGGTACTGGTCAGAGCACGCCGTTCATCTATCAAGCCGATTACTGCCGAATGACATTAGAATCACTCTGCAAGGGTGGTTTTACCGAATTTCATCGGATGGTCGATAACGGATTGAATCGGAGGGGAGGATCCCGGTGAAATTAAAGTACATTTTGTTCAGGATACGCATTTGAGACCGTTTAACATGCCACCTTGATAATAATCCAAATCAATGAATTAATGCACTTCAATTGATTTTTTTGCATTTGACATGGGCTTATTTACTTGGTGATTTAGAATCTTCAGGAAAATATCTCTATATCGCGTGACAGTTGTGGTAATCGTGGCTATGGAGCACTGGAAGCGGTTGTAGGCGTTGGCCCCGCGTGGTGTAAGCCACACTCGTCCTGTCATTTCAACATGCAAAGTGATATAACATTGATGTGCCACTAGTCAACAGGAAAGCTACTGGAGAAACTAAACTTGGCTGACAACTCGATTGAAGTGTTCGCCAATCGTATGAGACGTCCCGTGCAACCAATGAACCGACCACATTTTCCCTGAGTGTCTAAGTGAAGTTAGGATCGACGGATTCATGAGTCACACGTTAGAATGGTGTTTAGAAGTTGTCTTTGAGGCTACAGCTAGTGATCAATGTATGGTTGATGTAGTTCCGTACGGACAAGATTAGCAGTCAGTTGGCTACTGAGCCAATATTGCCTGAGGCAGCGTTTTCCTAACCGTTACACTCGGACCACGGTGGATCATAAGTGGACGTCTTGAACACGCACCTTAATTCGGGACGAAACTGAGAATAAAAAGTGCAGGAAGAATTCAAAGTTGGGTTTTTGGTATCAGTGAGGGTGTGGGGGAGTGGGGTGTTAGTGTTGAGATGGATCAACATCGAAACCCCTCCAGGAAGAAGGATGTTCGCGGTCTATTTAATCCCTAATTGATTCCAACATCAACTCGAGTGAGCGGTTTGCTTCCAGTATCACGCGAGACTCATCGAGCAGCATTTGTTATACAGACTCAGTGATCAGCGGGTGTAGTCACCTCTCACAATTGCAGAACTACAAACCTCAACTGCGAGGCGATTTGTGTTACCCGACTGGCCGAAAGTTACTGGCTACCAGTTATCCTAGCATGAGAAACAGAGAATTAGCCAATTAACTCAGATTAAGAGGAGACGGTGTCATAAAAGCAGTGTTCGTAGTAGAAAAACCGAAATTCTATTCATTCCGGTAGTATGAATCAAGGGAGGAAGATTCTGAGTAATGAATTCTTTTCGGTAATTCGCATTAGACTCAAAAATTACATGATGATGACAAAGTGCTAAATGTGCCGGATCGGGCTGCATATTGATCAGAATGTTTCTTCCAACAGGAATAAAACAATAAATCACGGGGTCATCGGAGGTGCCAAATTATGTACAGGGGAAATCACAGCGGGAGTTGTAGGCCACGGTCGAATTAAAGGACGTACAAACTGTTTTTGTAGGCATAGTTCCGGCTTGAGGTGGCGGATATAAATAACCTCCGCAATAGATAGGAGGTGCTTCCGGAATCCGCGCGAGAAACGTTCAGAGATCGTATAAATGACTCTGAAATCGATTTCCGTCCCTGCGTGACCGTACTCTAGAAGGTGCGAAAGGATGGAGCCGTCACTAGACCTCGCTTCGCCTTTGTAAAACCCCTTCTGCATGTGTTCGCGAATCCTATGAGATAGTCGCCTCTTGGTACGACCCATGTATTGTGCACCACAGGAGCACGAGTACATGTAAACAAGCATTGCTCGAGTCACCAGACGCAGCCTGTCTTTCAAATGTTTTGTGAATAAAGGCTTGTCGTATTATACTATGCGTAGGTGAGCCACGAAATAAGTCCTTTCAACAGCGTCTTTCAGGCCTTTGGACATGGCATCAGCCGAACTGTCGCCTTGGAAAGGAAAATGCCCGATTAGTTCTTTCTTGGGTACATTCATCCTCGGTGGTTTTATCTCGCGTTCATCCAAATGTTTGAGGGTTAATTTATCTGGATGCCGATTCCCACTTAAAGAGTCACCGATCCTCTGCAATTCTTTGGTGATGGCGTCCGGTGTGCAAATACTGTGTGTTCGGAAGGCAAGAGTGCGACTAGATTTCCTTTGGACTGTAGTGGTGCCGCACTATAGAAGTCGGTGTACTGTCGAGTCTAAGTTGGTTTCCTAAACACTGCTCTGCTACATGAGCCATCGGTGTTTCTGATGGTATCAACGTTTAGGAACGGTGTTCGGTTTCCGGAATCATGCTCGCGTGTGAATTCTTGAGGTTGAGGTGCATCATTAAAGTCTTCCAACAGTTTCACAGCCTGCACTTTCGATTTGCAGAGGATAAATTCCTCGTCCACATAACCTACATACATATCGACTTCGTTGACTCATGCTATCGAATGGAAATTTTTGGATTGCTGAAGATCAGTATTCCCCGTGATTCAGTCACACCCCGATAGTTCCTATTTCGATTTCGGAACACAATGAGTAACACTAATTGCAGCTTCCTCGGGAATATTGCTCAGATATATCAGAAGTCAAACAAAAGCGATTTCATCGTAATCTTCCAACCTACAAAAGGTAGTTGCTCCATAAGGTTTGTTGTATCTCTTCAAACCGTATACGATGACAGAGTGTATGACCGAGATTAAACCGCTAGATACGTTGCATGCATTCTATTGCTATCCAAACTTATCATATGAAGAGTAATCACCGTTTAAACAGCCGGTCTGGTGTAGCCTTCGATCGACGTGCTATAACTGATGGGTTTATCGCTCGCCGGGATGAAAATACAGCATGCCAGCTCATCGGTATCCCCCAAAAACAGTGACTACAGTAGTTATTTATCAAGGCGCTGAAGGCCTCTGAAGTAGTTGGTAAAATAGACCAAATAAACGCTCCAGTTGACTTGAGGGTTGGTTATCTAATAAAAGGTTTCCCGCAGTAGATTCCAAACCAGGTAGTCTTTCACCTATTAGGAAAAGCACTGGACGACCGTTTCGTTCTATCGGGGCTCAGTAATGCGCATACACCGGCTCCATCAAGATCCGAGCCCGTGAGCACTAGCGGTGTGAGCTACTAGGCAGCAGTTTATGCCAATAAGCCATGGGGGTGGCTGCGGACCGTCATGACTCGCAAGATAACTGCGATATGACGTAACTCATCCTCCACTACAATCGCAGTTACGAACGTTGCAGACGACAGAGCTGGTCCTGAGAGTCATAACAACGTCCATGGACGACATAGCAGTTAAAACCTACAAAGGGAGTTGAATGGTATAGGAAGAAATGCGTCACACCATGACTCAGTAAGACAACCATCACATGCCCAGTAAAGCACTTAGTGGGAGGGGGTTACCCCGCCCATTGCACGGCAGTAAAGCGCAAGTCAATGGATAGTGTACGACGCTATATCACAGCTAGTAACTTAGTCACGATGGTCCTTGCCGTCCTCCGTAACTCAGTGGTGTTACACACCGACCGGCAGTAATTTAGTTGCGTGTTCGAGCCGCACAGGAGTGAGACGGGAAACGCGCTGCTAACGATTCCGCCGCACCGTGCGTTTCTGGGCATGTGATGGCTGCCTAGCTGGGTCTAAATTTGAAGAATTGCTTGCTATACCAATTAAAATCTGTAAAATATGTTGATTACTTTCAAGTATTATTGGGCACGACTAACGAGTCCCGGTAGGACGAAACGGCGGTCCAGTACTTTCCCGGACGTGCGGAAAACTATCTGACTTGGAAGTTGCTGCGAAAAATCGCAAAAGATGACATTAAAAATTCTCTGCATCTAGGTTAATTTGTTGAAATCGTGGGTGTACGTCACATCCACAACAAACTGACCGTTAATGTGTGTCCGGATAATAAAACGCAATACGGTGCATCTTCCGTTTTGAAACTATACACATTAACACCGCAGTTCCAGTAAGAAATGATGGTGCGGGTGGGGGGGGGGGGCTTACAACTGCTATACCCACTGGGAAGTGGAATGTAAAGAGAGAGACCCAACTTAAGCACCTAGCCGTATGCCTGACGCACTAAAATTACCCAAATACCGAATTTTCACACACAGACACAGAGGGATAAGACAAAGCTGAATACGACGGGAGCGTTACTTCGATGAAAAGTTTTCATCCAAGGCTTTCTTCAGATATAAGGCATTTTGCATGCTACTACATCTCTTCGCGTTTGGTTGTATCGTATGTAGTGGCTCAGAGTGACCATCTAGTACTGCGTATCCATGCGTAGCCGTTTCTGCCCTGTTTCAACGGTCCGCGTTCGTTCAATATGGGTGGCGCAAAATAAGTTATTCGCAGACCTTGGGCGGTCAGTCTGCCAATTGTGCACTTGGGATGAAGCGCTTTCTTCGTCCGACAATAAGTGACAGATATCCATCGGGCGGTGAGCATTTGTGCTCGTTGTTCGATTGCTGATGACACAGTATTCATATGTGTGGATCCGTTTCCACTGCTGCTGGATCAGTGCTTTGGAAAAGCAGACAAAAGTAATAATGTGCATGACGTGACAAGCAACAAAAGCTGCTGGGTGTGCAAAAGTAACCAAACAACTCAAACAGAGAGTGACTGACATACTCACCAGAAAGGAGTAAGCATTTGAGGGCGCCGAGGTGCCGAGTGTGAGGGGTGCCGATCCCGCATAAAGTAGCTGCCAATCAAAAGTGAGATAAGGATAACTGAGGTAATTTGACGAAGATCGGATATCAAGCCAACAAATGAATAAACGAATCGGTTATTCTGTGAACTCAAGCAGTCGAAGCGAGCTAACGCCACGTGATACAGCTAACGAAAATCACGTACGCAGAACAAGGTAATGACACTATACCTAAGAGTTGAGGATGCAGAAAATACGTGCACATACGTGTGGTGAAGAACCAACGGAGATTCGCAGCAACCGACTAGAGGGCTTAAAAATATTGCAAAATGGTAGGATCAATTTACAGAAAACCGACATCAACGTTTAGACAATTACAATGCTCGTCTGCACGTGACTTGTTGTTTTACCGTCTGAATATGTTCAAGGTGGTATCGCTTATACAACCAAGGGACCGCCAACCGTTTTTCAAATAAAAAATTTACATTTTTCAGGAAGAAACCACAAACAATCATCGTCCAAGTTGTCCTCTTGGGCAACAGAATTAATCTGAACGGCCAAGGAGTTGCGCTGAGGGGCATACAAGATGAGTCTTTACTCAATTACTTTGAGCCGTGCGTGCGCCACTTACTTGTGCAGGTGTGTAGGTGTGCGTGTATAGCCCGGCGCCTTCAGCCAATTGGACCTCAGACGCATTAAGTCATAGAGGTGCAGGTGGGACGCTTCAGCTCATACCAGGGACAGCGTCGGTGGCCGATACATCATGTGGGCTTTTGTTTCTCTGTCCTAGGAAGCGATTCCCACCAATTAGAACGAGAGTAGGGATTTGCATGACGATTGGGTTGGTATAACGAGCCACAGCCAAATAAGTTCGCCGTATGCTTTTGAATGTGCAGTTCACCCAAACGCAATGGTTGGCTTGGGTGTTCGGCACTCGAGGGAGGTGAAGAACGTCATACTGAAAGCGTAGGAGGAAGGTGACGATTGCAAGCAGGTTGCTTGCATAATGAAGGTGAACCTGAAACCTTACCGCGACTGGATAGGGGCATACGAATCGACGGAACCGCTGGTGCAGCACAGGGGAGTCCGTCGCAGAGCACTAGGAGAAAGCCACGTCGACTATCTGATGCAGTGGATTTCTGCAGAGCCCATCGTTACTCTTGAACTCCTTCGTTTGCGGTTGAAGGCCGAGTTCGAAGTTTCAGTAAGTACCAGCACCGTCTCACGATACCTGGATGGTAGACTGGTAACAATGAATAAATTGCGCACCATTCCGGAGTCTATGAACACGCTGGAGAACAAAAAGCGACGCAGGTCATTCGTTTTGCAGCTTATGGATTACGAGATGGAAGGAAGGCAACGGGTGTGGATTGATGAGACCAACTTCAACTTATTTTGCTCCCGCACTCGTGGCCGCTCATGACGTGATAGTCGAGCGCAGTGTACAGTGACGAACAGCCGGGGACCGAATGTTCATCTTGTCGCCGCCATGACAAACAACGGCTTGATAGCGTGTTCGGTTCTGAGAGAAAGTTACAACAAGCAACGGTACGCTCAGTGGCTGCGACAAGTGCTTGCTACCAACGGAGCAGGGTTTGTGGAAAGGTGTCTTTTTATTTGTGACAACGCACCCTGACACACGCACCTCGAGCACGTTTTCCTGGAGGAACCGTACCGCTCTGCGAGACTTCTACGCCTTGCGCCATATTCTCCGGCTCTCAATCCCATCGTGGGCATCTGGAGCATAATATAGGCTCATGTAAAACAGACAATGAGGGGACGGCACACAGAGATGCTCCTGGGCGTTCCTGAAGGCGTTATGAATAAAAACGAGTGATGGATTCGCTTTTTGGGGCACGCGGTGTTTGAAGCACGAGCCTTAGTGAAGCAGCAGCACTGCCAACAAATGGTTCAGCATGTCAGTAAGAATTATGGACGTGTTGTTCATTTGGCCGATCTGTAAGACATTCTCTTGGCAGTAGACGACCTGTTACAAGCGAGTGTTGTTCTCAGTTTATTATGATGACGAGTCAGAGTGCACTTTATACCCTACTAGAAATAGCCAGTTCTCTAATCAGGGGAACATCGTGAATTTCCGATAAGTTGATGCGTGTGGTCCCGTCGCACACCCATTTTAGTTGCCGCGTTGTAGAACAATCATGTGAGAGCTTGACAGATGCCACTCTAACACGGTTGTGTAACAATCAATTAGGTTCTATCGCCTGTCGTTGATTGTGTTTGGAGAGCCAGTGGACAAGGACTTCGATAAGGGCATAATAAATAAGAAAATTGAACTACGCAGATTTGACGGACATGGATAGTGTGTGTGGCCGTTTGCCGGATTGCTTAACCCGTTACACCAACACAGTCGGCTGGACGCGGCATGCGGAAACGCGGAGCATGTAGGGCAAGCACAACTAACGTTTATCACGCTCTCTTGGGAAATATTTCCGGATGGGTATTTGTCAGTTGTGGACTGTATTCGAACACACCGCAGGGTTGCGATGAGAAGGTGCTTTGAAGCTGCAAATAAAATGTACTCGCTTCGGCGAATCACATTTACTCGTCGGGTTGTAACGTCTGCACAGGGATCAGCGGCTCTGCATGACGCAAACCAGTCCGTGCGTTCATATGGCATTTGCCATTTGCAAGTGGAAGTTGCTATTTCGCTCCATCCCAATTCTACGTGGGTAAATGATGCGGTTATAGCCGGACATCTGCTGCGCCTTATCGTTATCCGTCCACACACCTCAGGCTCCGTCCCCATCGCCAGCTGTGACTACACCGTGCAGCTAACCACGAGATATAAATCAGGCGCACTCTCCATCCACCTCCGACCCCTAGTGGGTGGTTGATATCAAGTATCAAGTATCCGTTTCGCCTTTCAACCCCCTGTATCTTTGATGACCCAATGCACGCCCGGATACGGAAGCCCTGGGTACTCTCGACATGACACATATTACATTGGCCGAGCGATCTGTCGAAACTTAGTTGCAGTGTTGTTCGCGGGAAAATAATCGGTTACCTTACTTTCTTAATTGCTATCGGCTAAAATCTCACATGCTTTACTGGTACATTCAACCAAGCGCTTTTCATCAGGAACGTCATCTACATCGTTGTCAACCTGGTGTTGCAGCTCCTATGTAAGCGGTTTGGTTTTCAGTGCGCTCGGTTTGAGTTTGGATGAGCAAGTATCGATGATTGAGCTATGGTGTCGTTGCTGAACTCACAACACGTGATCGTGCTTAATGACGGGGTTTGCATTATGTAGACGAAGATATGACTAATCCGCTTTGAATACGTAGTTGCTTCGTTTGCAGAGGCGCAGTATGGGGGCGCGTATGCGGTCCGCCCAGGGCGGAACGTGACACGCGGCCACATTTTTATTACCGTCGTATGTTGGATACCAAAGATGAGGGACCAATTAGCCGGATAAGCTGTGGGTTGAATATTTTAATGTTACTCTGTATCATCAACAACACATTTGCGCCGTGTCACACTTGTGCAAACGTTCTTCCCGGTGATCCTCTTAGTTGTTCCATAGTGATCACTTTCAACACATTCACCTCAAGGTCCCAAGCGCATATTAGTTTGCATCGAAAGCTAGTGTGCTCTTTACCGATCGTTTGACATTCACGCGCCTGTGCTGCCCTCAGTAAGAGTGATAATGTTACCACCCCCTCGGGTGGCAAAAGTAGTTGCCACTATCCACAGTGCCAAGTGGCCCATCAACGGACGGCATGTTCGTAGGCTGGTGAGAAAAGTTGAAAAAACTGGGGGCGTGTGCTACGCCAACAAGACAGGGCGGCATCGCATCACCACGGATGACTTTTCTGCTTGTGTGGTTATTCCTGAGGTGTCTAGAAGCTGCGATCTAAGCATTCGTAAACTCGCCCAGCATTGCGACACCACCAGATATGCTGTCCATAGGGCTTTGAAGGAAAGGAAATTCCGGAAGTATAGCACCCGTCAATTGCAGGTTTTAAACCCATGTGATTCGGAGAAGCGGCTTCCTTTTTGCCGCAGGTTTTTGAGTGCCATGGACATCCATTCAATTCTTTTTACCGATGAGGCTGCTTTTCCTTTGCACTGTGCGGAGAAGCAACAGTTTGGGCAACGTGTAATCCACGTCGATGCAACGCTTCACGTATACAACATCGCGCAAAGCTCATGGTATGGGCTGGGTTAACTGGCCAAAGAATCGTGCGACCATTTTGCTTTTTCAGTAATGTGAACGGTAGGTTGTTGTTTTGCAATACTAATGCCTTACCCTTTGTAGCATCCGCGTACAAGGAATTACTGGAAAATTGTGCCATTCTGGAACTGGAAGCCGCTGGGTTATTGAGTACCGTATGGTTGCAGCAAGATGGCGCACCTGCCCACTATGCACAAACGGTGCGGGATTTTCTCAAGCAGACGTCCTCTTGCCGTTGGGTCGGGCGGGGAGGACCTATACAGTGACCTGTTCGGTCAACGTAGTTGAACCGTTTGGATTGCTTCCTCTGGGGTTACTTGAAGCAGCGTGTTTACAAAACGAAGCCAAACTCTCTTGAGGAATTGAAGCGGAGCATTTTGAACGAATGTCGCGGGATCACAGTTGGTACTTTGGAGAAAGTGCTAGTAAACACCATCAGGCGAATGCTGCGCTGTACGCAAAACGCCGGCGGGCACTTCGAACATCAACTTGGCTAACAAATCTGAGCATTACACCGATAATCTGTAAATATATGTATCATGCAAAGATTTATCGACTGAATTCGTGCGCTGGCTAATGCTCTCTTTTGCTTAGGAACGTCAGTTGGTGATTTCTCCTGGCGTTTTGTGTGCGCGTGTCGTATTATAAATAGCTCGGGATATTCGTTCTCCCCTAGGTCGCCCCAACTTGAAGCTTGTCCCCATGGTTCAATTTATCTATTCCATCAAATCCATGTGGTAGAATAGCAATCGAGGCTCAGTTCGCACATGTGAACGAACATCTTCCCAGTTGAACACAGACCAATGAGGAGACAAGCGGTTGCTTTACAACTACGAGGGTAGAACTTACCAAACAGTCA